TACCAATGAATAGTGGGATTGACCATCTGTTTATGATGCCCCCATGGCTGAAAGGGCAAGTCTGTTTGGTGGGATGGGGATTTGAACCTGTGACCCTAACCACCTGGCCATGCCAGGCTCTTCCTTTATGAGCTATAGTGTTGTTTTGTGATACAATTCATGTCCAGTATGTCATATGATAATTATTGATTATGTTAAGAGTTAGCCTCAGTTAGGACACTTGTTTGGTTGGAATATCAACAATCAAAAGAGCATAGTGACCATTACTTTCTGAGCTACTGAGTAATATTTAGTAGTGAAATTTTGGCCAAATATTTTGTAATAATAATTTAACATATTTAGTGAGATCTAAAGGAATTTATACACAGCACACCATGCAAACTTATTAGTTTCACAGAAATGGCAACTGATGTTGTTAAGTAATATCAATGGTTGACGATGATATGGAATTACGGCAAACTATTATGTTGAAATGATTTGCAATTCTTGTTTTCCAAGAATTCAGGTTATATCACAAATGTTTTCCAGTATTTGCTAGTATAAACTCCTTCAGTGAACTCACACTTTTTGCACATAAGTTGCCACAATACTGTGCATGCTAATGTGGATGGTTTTCATGAAGTGCAGTAAGAGTTGTGCTTACATACAGTATGAGAAATTACCACCAATTTCCTTTTTCACCCAAAATGTGCATTATGCTTCTAGATTTTTGGGTTTATTTTCCATGTTTATCTGATGTATTAGGTTTTTCATGACCCTTAACTGGAATACTACTAGGAAAGACGTGACAATTTAAAGTAAATGGTATATTATAACAGCAATAATAATTTTGCTGTTGTACATTCTGCAAAAAATACATTGGACTGGATTGTGTGCATATGCATGTATTTTACAGCTGATAAGAAAATATGTAATCAGGATAGATGCTAAAAGCAGAATAGGCCATTTATTTTTATTTCTCTCCATGATTTCTTTCACTTTCATGACATCATTTGAATTTAAAGTTGTGAATAATTATAATGATAAAACTTCTTCATGAGCAGCTCATGTGTTGCATAAGACACAGTAATGTGAGCTGCATGATCACCAAGTGATTTACAACTTGTGTGATGGGATTATTAGTTACACACAGTTCAAGAGGCAATAAAACAATAAAAGTAAGTATAAACAGATGTATACTGTTAAGAATTATAGTACAGAAACTCTGATGGTATTTTGTGGTTACAAACTTGGTAACTTGGTGACTGAGCCCATAGCAAGACAGTTCATTTGCTCCATCCATCCATGTAGTACTTTGTCTCATTTCTGACTTGCTCTTACACAACATTTTAAGAGAAAAAAAAATTTCTTCCTAGTTCCTTGCCACTGTAAATATTTATTGCAGTGTCTATTGAACCCTTCTTTTCTGAAAAGCTTACAGTCTACTAAAAGGTAACAGGATGGCATTCCATCCCACTTCAAGCACTGACTTTGTACACTTGCAGGTATTTTGCAGTTGGACACAAAATGTGATCTGAATAGATGCTTGTAACAAAATAGAACATCTCTGCTTATTTTTCTCTGTTTTTAAGTGGTGCTTGGTGGCTTTTACTCACACTCTGGCATGAGCAAGAAGCTTGATTGATGGCAATGTTGGTTGCATGGAAAACCAGTCTAGCTGTTGAATGGTGAAGGCCAGGTACTGCAAATATGTGTTTGTTAATGAGGCAATGGAATTATAAATGCCACAGCACAAACATACTTTTCATGATACATTTAAACCAGTTGGTATAGTTAAGTTTGTACACGAATATGACACATGTGCTTTCTTAATGCAGGTTAAGAATACAGGAGGTTACTACATTATATTAACCCTTTTGCAACAAGAGCCCCTTTAAACACTTTTCTGCACAAGTCACTGTGTTACATTCAAAATGTAATTAAACACCTTTATAATCAATGTATATGAATGAAATTAATATTATAATGTATGTTCTGATTCAAAGTTTTATTTTATCCAAGTTTTAAGCCTTTATTTCAAAATAAACCTTTAAAAAACTACTTAAAACTTTGGATGTATTGTCACATGACCAATGAGCTATGAAACTTCTCTACTTTGGTTCTCTATATCTTCAATAATACAACCGTAGTTAAGTAGAGGTACGTCTAGACAATAAGATGCTTACATAACCTTTGTGTAGAAAACTCTGGATGAAAGTTGTAACAGAGAAATCAACCAGATTTGTTGCAGCCCATGCTATACATATAATGTCACATACAAGGAACACCCTGCTGCAATTCTATACTATTACTGGCTGCAACACTACATCTCAGTTTGCCAGCATTGTAAGAAAACTGCTTGGGAGATATTTCATGCTGATACTAACTGATACTAATTGAGCTACTAAAGGACATTGGGAAGAATCACCTATTGAGTGACAAAAGTATTTCAAATGCAGAGGCATTTGTGTGTAAGCTGTACAGCTCTGAAAATGATATCCAAATGCTTCGTGCTTCATTATTCAGAAAGTCTAAGAGAAGTCTTAAAACTTGCTTCCAACAAGAGATGCTCTCATCTTTCATATCAGAAGATTACATTATCAAGCATATATTTAGCAGAATGCACTCATAGCAAAAGCAGATCTCCCAGATCCTCTTCTGACAGGTTGGCAAGATGTTAATAGTGTGATGTAACCTATTCTTATGAAAAACACTGCTGTCTCAATTGCTTACTTGCAGTTAACCAGATGTGGTTGCAGTAGTACAGGATGTCGATATGTAACAAAGCAATTCATGTGCACAAAGAGCCTTCTGGAGTGTACTGTAGCTTGTTTCTGTTCTAGTGACTGGTTCAAAAACACACAAAATCCAAGGGACTGAGATAAGAAACAATATAATCACACATTCAGTTAACATGGTTAATGTATTTGTTATTGTTGCTTTTTTTTACGTGTGTAACTCAATCTATGATAAGTATATTATAATATAACCATAATTGAGAGAACAAAATTATCTATGGATTTTTATTTAACCAAACTTCATTTGCATTGACATTGAGTGCAAAATGGCCAAATTGGATTGAATTGCAATTTTGACAGAAAAGCTGAATTTTGTATTCCTAGTTGGATTTAATTTCTAAAAAGAATGTAATTATATTATTGCACACAGTTTCAGAAATAAGAAACATATTTAGACCTATTCTGAAATGTAAAGCATAATTCTTTGACAAATTTAAGCAATTTCTGTTAATATAGGAAATGTGTACTTATTTCTAAGAATTTTATTCAGTTGTTAAAATACTAAAATGATTTCATAGCAAAAAGTTAATACTTGCAGAAAATTTGTAGTTTCTGTATATGTTGAATGAAACAAAATGAACAATAAAATGAATAAAACATTCTTGAGTTTATGGTTTTAAAGGGTTAAGCCTAAAATGGGCCAATTTGGGCCATTCAGGCCCATTTTATGTTGACAAAAATATAAGTTGTTCTAAGAAATATATTACTAGACATAATAGAACATAAAACAAGTATGTTTATGTTTTTATGAAGAAATCAAATGAATGAAACCCAAAAGAATAAAACATTGATTTCTCATACCGAAAAGGCCCAACTGAGGGTAGGGTATAAAATGGGCCACTCAGAACCATTTGCGAGATTGCCGACAATGATTTTAGAATTCCTGAATCAAATAGCTTTCTTTTGATATATGTTGACACATTGTACTAAAAATATCAGACACTTTGCATATTTCTGGGTTTTGCCTCCAGACTATCCTACCTACAGGTTTTCCATAGTTAATCTAGTGTACAAGAAGGACAGTTCCAAGCATACATTTCAACTGTTTAATCACACAAATATCTATAGGAGCTGCTTCTTACAACTTTAGCAGTGTCTTCATATGGAACAACATGAAAACCCTTTTCACTCTCCAGCTGCTTGAAGTGTGTGACAGATGAACAAGTATGTTGTGGTAGCAGTTTATAAACATGTGACTTGTGACATACAGAGAACCTTCTTTATTATGTTGCATACTGTTGTCTGGTACATATATGGGTTTTGCCAATGACCTGGGTCACAACTTGTTGCAGTTCTCTTTCTGGGTGGTCTGATGCTCAAAAATGATTCATATTATTTTGTTTTCCTTAATATTTTATAAAGTTATGAACACATTAAAAAAAATCAAAGTATGAACATCTTCCTTCAAACTTGGAGTTGAAATAAAATATACATAATCTTATCCATACCCACAAAAAGAAATAACCAGAAGTTTGGAAAACAAAACTGATGAGCTTTTGTACATTGTAATAAAATAAAAATGTATGGAAGAAACTTTGAACTTGCAAGTATATAGCAATGAGAATTATACTGTTTTATGTAATGTTTTATGACATTAGCAAATTCATTGTGATCAGGACTCAATGCTAGGACCCTTGACTAGTGCTCTGAAAACAGGTATACTCTACTAACTAAGCTACCAAGATTTTAAGTCTCAATCACACAACCTTCACCATGACTATTAAACTACATACACACATATATACAGTTTTCACAAAAAATAACATGCATGAAATAGTATATAAGATTTTTGAATATTAAAGATAAATACTGTCTCACCTATGACCCAAGAATTAAAATAGTTGATGTGGAGTGAATGGCTCAATTTGATATTCAACATAGGCCAGACATTTGCTAAGGACCCATTGCTGTATCTAGATGATATATCAAGAATATGACACATCAGAGGATAGAGATCCACAGTGTTGAAAGGATTCATTGTGAAGTTGACTTTGAAGGCTGGGCCATGAGCAATGAAAGGAGGTTGCATAGATGGAAGACTATTGTTATAACCATGCAATCCACCTAAAATACATAAAGTAAAAAATGTGACATCTGATTGTCAGTATGCAAATGAACCTTAATTTGTAAACACAACTATTATAAACTGAGATGTTACATTTTTCTACTTATGTGTACAAAGGATTATGGTTCTTTGAATTCATGAAGAAAATTTTGAATCTCACACAAGAGAAAAAATAATTAATCCAATCAAAAAGATTAAGGTACTTACGCAAATTAATGTGCTGACTTAGATTATGCACTATTCCCCATCCTTCTTTAGCTATCAACAAAATTGGCATGACACGACGGTGACTTTTGTAGTGGTAGTCATCTGGAATATTCTCTTTTCTGTATACTGTGAAGTTGTGAAATTTTGAGGCATTTTTTAGAATTTTGTAAACATCTTCAATTTTTCCTAAAGCAGAAAACAAAATACAAAAAACAGTTTACATAAAGTGAAATTTCATGATAAATCATTTGAAAGATTCAAAGTCAACAATGTAAATGTTGCCTCCTTAGATTAAAACATTTTATAAACTAAAAGAATGAAAAATATAATTCAACAACGAACTCTTGAATCAAAATTACAACTTCCAATCTTCTCTTTCTAGAAACCAACTGTGATGCTCACATCTGATTAACACAGAATCTCTCCCTCAAACAGATATAATAGTTTTTTGGGTGGCAGGGCGAGATGCAAGAAATTCTAATAATTGTCTTTTGGAAGTGTTGCATATACTGTTGGAAAGTCCGAAAGCTGCTATATCCAAATATGCAATCCATATGAAGGTAATATATTTCAATTGGGAGGTATGAGCAATCAAAGAGACACAGAGTTTCAGAGTGAACAAATCACCTTAACAGCAATGGCCCAGGGAACAAAATATCTGGATTTGCGAATCAAAGCAACCCCAGTTGTGTGAAAGGGCATCATGGAAGGAAGTAATGTTGGCAATACAACAGTGAAGAGCATGTACAGGACATAGAAATATATCCCAATCAGGCTGTGGATAAAGGTGGAAAATGGAAGGATGGGAAATCGGCAAAAAGAAGGAGTTATCCTCCCAAGCCACTGAAGTATTGGAGAGGAATGATCCAGATAAAAGCAAATATATGTAGAATGTTAAAGAGTATGTGAAACATTGATGGCAAATTACCTCCAACATCCACAGGCTAAGAGAAAAAGAAAATAAGTCTTAAGGGATAGGAGAAAGAAGGAGCCCCGGAGAGTGGTTTGAATGGAGGCAAAGTGAGGCAGTGAAGGACTACATCCCAATCTGGAAGGGCAGCCTGTGGCGATGGATGACAGATCCGGAAGGAACACATCAACAGGGAATCAGTAGGAGTGGTAAACATCCTACAGTATTGGGAAAAATAAAATCTGTGGGACAAGGTCACATTATAATTCAAGATCAAGGAGACAGAAGATTCCTGATTGAAAAGCCAAGTTAGGAAATCTGCAATACGAGGAACAGTGTGTTGATCAGGGGAAAACCCTTGACCCAGAGACTAATGATGGAAAAATGCTCCATTTGTGTTCATAAACTTCCATGGAGGAAGGGCAATTGAAACGAACTAGAAAAGAAGCTACCTATTGGGACAAGCCAGACCTCCTCTTCAAGGACCAAATAAAGACTAAGCATGAAGACGGAGGACAGGAAGGGATGGATGTAACACTGGTGACCAAGGTTGATGAAGAAGAGATGGAGTAAGAGTAAGAGGTAATGGAGGGGTAATTTAAAGCTGGAATAGCCATGGGAACCACCGTTGAGCTGGCCAGTAATGAGCAATCAGAAGGACTTTACATGGAGTGGCATGATTGATGATCAAAATCAACCTGTGAAGAAGTCGAATTGGAGGATAGACATACAGGTATTTGTTGGTCCAATCCTGGCTGAAAGTATATATAGTCAGAGCAAGAAGATGAGGGCCTGGAGACCAAAACAGAGGCAATTTAAGGTTGAGAGATGTGGCAAATGTATTGATGTGAGAAGTACTACACTGAATGTAAAGCCACAGGAAAACAAGATGATCAAGAGACAACTTCATCAGATAGACTTTGTCTAGAGAGGAAAGCATTCAGAACATGAGATGCAATGATATGAATATCTAGCGTGTGGGCTCAAAAATAGAAAATCCAACTTATGAAAACACAGAGATCGAGAACGGGTGCCTCCCTGGGAATTGAGATAAGCAATCACTGTAGAATTGTTGGAAAGGATCATTATAGGATGAAGTCTGGCCAGATGGAGAAAATTAACAAAATCATGATGTACAGCAAGAAGCTCCAGGATGATGATGTGATAAAACCTCTCGGCCACAGACCAATACCCCAAAGCTTCCTTATAATTGACCCCCATCCCTGAAGGGATGTGTCTATGAAAATGTGTAAATCTGGATGAGGAGGAGGAAGCGGAACATCCGCTAATGTGCGAGTCTTATCCAACCACCAATGCAAATCACCAACATGGGTAGGAGGAAGGGAAGTAGGAGACATGAAAGGATCCCTCACAAAATTCCACTGGTTATGAAGAGCTCACTGAAGAGCTTGCATATGAGCACAACCTAAGTGAATAAGGGCTGCCATGGAGGACCACATCCCCAAAAGCAATAGAACCTTGCGAGCTGTAAGAGTGGGAGCAGTAAGAGCATGTAGAACTGAAAATTCCATCAAAGGAAATCAAAGAGAAGAGTGGGCCTGACTGAGATGGGTGTTGAAAAAAAGACACCCAAATGGACAAGGTACTGGGTAGGCTGAAGGAATGACTTCTCCAATTTGATTAATCACACTACTCGAGCTGCCTCCAGGAGCAGCCTATGAGTGTGATGGTTGGACTCCTGTTCGGGACGAGTTAACAGCAGCCAGTTGTCCACATAATGATGACTGCCACCAAGAAGAGGAAAACACAACCTCCTAATGCAGTAGCTCTCCCTAAGCACTTGAGCTCAAAATAACTTCATTCTTAGACAAGGCAAGAAGAATGTGTACTAGAAATGGTGAGGAGGTGACTATCTATTGGAAATACATTTTCAGGTAAGGTAAATGTTAGCTTCTGTAAGAATACCTCAACTTCACACACAGAATAGCTAGAATCCCACAGTGAAATAATGGAGGGGCTGGTGCAAACATTAAACCTAGATGAGCTACCTTCAGATGCTTTCTGCACGACCAACCTAACACCCACATACAATTGGTCAGTGAGCCAAGAAGTGTTGAGTGGTTAGGGCACAATTAGACTGTACTGTGTGTTTCTGACCTTGACTCATCTGGACAAACAGATATGGGGGTGACAAACCTGTCTTACTTCAGAAGGAAGGTACACTAGTGACTTGCACTACACAGACAGTGCCACCCCCACCCTACTTCCCACCATATTATGGTATACAAAGTCAGTGAGGAACTCTCCAAGGTTCACCATCCCAGCAGCTAGGAACTGATAAATGGCAAGGATCTCCTTTGCTACACTTGAAGGGAGTGGGTGAAGAAAACTCACTGGGGAGACCTGGGAAAGTGCTCCATATGATATTTGCTGAAAAAATCTTTTACTGGAGACTGCAAAACCCTATATTTAAAAGCTGGAAAGCATATGGCAAAGAAGTGAGCAGTCACTTCCTTGGTGCCAGTTTTTTTCCAACTATAGTCCACGGAAGGTGTAGTATAGATTAGGCAATTGAGTAATTATAATACCATGAGAATACCTTTAGAGGTGTTGCAGAACACCCCCATCTAGACACTGAACACTGGTAGAGCCAGGGTGAATGAGTTGAGTATTTTCCAATAGCCCTGGCCCAATGCATATTTTGAGAAAACAGCATAAACTGGGAGACAACTCCAGCCACCTAGTAAGATCCTATAAGAAGGAGAAAGATGAGACATGGGTAATATAAAAGAAAATATACTTACAATTCTCAAAGACAGTGTGTAGTTTATTGAAAAACAGCAACTGGAGGGAGTCAAAATCCTGCAGGAGATGAAACAGCCAGATGAAGATAAGGGGAAATGAAATATGTGGTTTCATCCCCATACTAGCCTGAAGGATCATGGAAAACGAGATGCAAGAGTGAGATAGTTGACTAATCTCATATGGCAAAATGTGGAAGAATTATCAGTGTGTAGGAAGCATCGATGGATGACTGAGGCCACAGGCAAGAAAGAGAAAATAATGTCTTCAAAAGAATATGGTATAATGAAAATGAAGTCAAAGGCTCAAATAGAAAGCATACAAGAGTTTGTAAAACCACATCAATGTTCCTTGTCCCACAGGAATGAGACAAGGGTGTCAGTGAAGAAGGAAGGATTGGAAGAAAGTGGAGAGGACAACAAGAAAAAAACCCTGACAGGAATGGGAAAGATGAAATATAGTTGCCAAAGCCATCAATAACAAGTAATATTAGAAACTGACAATTCATGGTGAAACAACCATGCAAAAAAGGCCAAACAATGGGCCACAGTAAAAAGTGGCTGATGGACCAACATTGAAAAACTCACCACTTCTATTGACAAATGGGCAGAATTGAAGGATGACAGGAATAGAATAAGACAAAAGCTACATGATTAGAGAGTCTAGCCCTGCAGGCAATGGACCAACAAATCCCACACGTGAAGATGAATAGATGTGGTGAATAAGTAGTGTGGTTGGAGCAAGAGAGAGAGAGTGAGAATGGGGCATAGGAAGAAGGTGCTTATACGCCAATTGAGAAAGCAAAGAAAATCAGGGTTGTGCTGGTTAAAGAAGTACCACCAACAGGACTTAACAAGGAGTGTCATGTATCAATGTGAGGACACAAGGAAGAAAATGAAGAGAAAAAGGTGAGACCAGTCCTGGCTGAGAGCAACAACTACCAGGACCAAAAAATAAGGAACTGAGGACCAGGAGAGGATAAGTTTGGTGTTCAGAGGAGTGTCCAGCTGAGGAAAAATCCAATGAAAAACTGGAGATTGGGGGCCACTCCATGGGAAGAACCTATGAAACAAACCCAATGGGAATAAGCCCAAAATAGCAGGCCCAGTGTGTAGAAGTAAAGAGATCTGGAACAGGTATCACCCATCCGATGGCTGATATAAAAAATTGATTGTGGTATTGTCAAGATTGGATCATGACCAACCTATCCATGAGGAGGAGGAGGAAATGGGAACATGCTCGACAGATGGCAAGAAGTTCAAGGATGATGATGTGGAGCGAATAACCAAAGTCAATAGTCATTCAGAGAGGTATCTGTGAAAAGATGGAAATCCAGTCAGGGATGGCAAATGGGTTCTCACAATAGTGTTGGCATTGTTGAGCCACCAAGACAAGTCTTTGAGAAGAGAATGGGAGGCAAACAATCAAGGACAATGGATTCAAAGAAAGGTTCCACTGGTCCTGCAATTTCCACTAGACAAATGGTGTGTGGCTGTGACATAAAGTAACAAATTGTTCAAAGGAAGCCAGAGTTCCCCACAAGCAACTTCATGCACAAGATGTAAAAGAAAAGCAAAATCTTAATAACATACATTCCATTGTTTGTAAGCCCGAAGTTCCATTATTACATGGAGGATTGGTTTCTCTTTGCCCCTTCTCTCCTCTCATACCTGCATTCTTCTGCAGGAGGCTGCTTATTGGCTGACTTGTCCAACCTTCTAAGTCCCTTCTTAAGCCCACTCTATAGTTGGTTGATTTGGGCACGTTCTTTAACTCCCATTTTCGTTGAGCTCAGCCTTCACTGCCTTCACCAATCTGTGAACAAGGTGAGTGAATGCCTCCCCATGACTCTATTAAATACAAAAGGAGCAGATGCAATGCCAAAAGAAAGAGTGCAGAACAGGAAAACCTAATATTGATGGATGAAAAAAGAAACCAACTGCAGGATGGAGCAATTGGAATATGTAAAAATGCATCTGAAACATATACATTAGTCATACACAATCTTGGTTATAAAGAGACATTGGAAAGAAAAGAACCCTCTATGTAAAACTGAAGAATGATAGGATACAGGTTGATACAATAGGTCAATAATATGATATCAGTCCCCAGTTTTCTTAGGGACCACAAAAAGATGATAGTAATAAACAGGTGTAGGGGGTAAGTATCCTCTCGATGATGCTCTTGGCCAAGAGATCCGAGACCCTATCCTCAAGACACTGAAAATAAAAGGGAATGGATAGAGAATGAAAGGAAACATAAAAGGAGAGAAGGTGAAAAGAAGCAGAGAGATAGGCTGTGAGTGAGAACCTAAAGAACTCATCTGTTGGATGAAAAAGGCTGGCAAAGAGACAGGATAGTCACTGATTAGATTAGCAAAGACTCTGACATCAAGAAATGAGAGGATGAGAAGTTAAAGAATGACGTTATTTTGTGTACACGTGCTTAGGAGGAGCTACTATGTAAGAAGACTGTGTTGCCATCCTATAGATGAAGGGCTACTGTCGCATGATGATGTCATCATACACAAGCACAGTTCGTGTTAAACGTGCTTTTTAGGTGAGAGTTAGCTCAAGGATAGTGGCATGCAAACCTCATGAGGGACCAAGCTATTCATTTATTTTTCTATCATAATACATTATAATTCGAGTGAAGTATGGAATGATAAAGCAAGCTTTAAAAAATTCAGGACTATAATTGTACAAAACTTAGCCACAAATATATATATCATCAAGCTAAGCTTTTGTCAGTTTGTTCCAGTGACAGTCTGATGAATTGGAAGCCATATTGGCATATACAGTTGAAAAGAAGAGGAAAAGCTCTTTCATTATGCATTTAGATCACTAACCTATTTGAAAGCAGGATATACAAGAATTGACCACCTTTAAAAATTTGGAAATCTTGAGTGGATTAAACATTGAGAAAACTAATTTTGACAACATTTACAATTTTCTGATTATGACTGAGAATAATAACCAAGGTGAGTAATTTACATAATATATAGTCTCCTATTCTCTTGAATGTCTGGCTGTTTCACTTTTTTATACCTTTCTTTTCTTTTCTATCAGATAAGAGGATTAAAATTCAACAGGTGATTATTTTTCACTGTTGATTGTTTGTTTGTTGTTAAGCGCAAAGCTACACAATGGTCTATTTGTGCTGTGCCCACCATGAGTAACAAAAACCTGTTTTTAGTGGTGTGAGGCCTCAGACTTACTGTTGAGCCATTGATGAGTGGCTGTTGATAAACATCCGATCAACATGGTTATGTATTACAGCTATTTGAAACAAAAACATGATCACCACTCACCGTCAGTTATTCTATTCTACCTCAAAAATCAGTGTTAAAATTAACTAATTACCGGAAGTGAGTTAGCATTTCATAAAGAAACTTAAAGATAGCTCAACTAAACAGCATAAGCAAAAATATGTAAAATATGAAAATAATAATAATAATCAATAAAAAATGAAAGAGTAATACCACACAATGTCTAAATTCACTTTTAAAATTTTCATGTCCACATTAGGGGAGCAGGCATGAAGAAATTACATTTATTCTAAGACCATGAAAAGCTATCCATTCCTGTAAACTTTGTAGAACAAAACTTTAGTTATTTATAAGATGTTGGTGTACTTTGGTGACAGATTTTCTTGTAGGCAGATTTTGTTAAACAAGACCGATGTCTGTAGGTTTACTTTCTTCTTAGAATTCTTTTCAAGAAGTCGATAAGCCGTCTTAACGTTGTTAGAACAACGGGTAAAAGTTGTAGCTAGTGATGAGTT